AGGTCTAGCTCAATCTGACCTGGTGACATCATTGTCACATGGCAGCTGACTGATTCTCTCCTGTATCGGTGTATGCATTTCAACTGGGGTTCTCCATATACATTGGCGATTATCCCAGTGTTCACATTCGTTATTTCTAAGGTCGATGTTTTCATTGTGATGAGTGCATGGTTGATTTCAGTTGCATGCAGCGTCAGAAGCACACGCTTATCACAGTCATATCAACGATGAGTGTTGCGGGAAAAGGGAATTAAGAGTTATCACTATGGTTGTTGCAGTTCAGAGTGAAATGCATTATGGGTAGTGTAGTTCGGAGAAATGTGCTCGTGTGACGTCTGCTATCGTGTGTTGTGTAATTCAGAAAACGGAGAAAGAACGTTTATATTCTGCTTTATTTGTTCATTCAAGTCAGTCCACCCAGGAGTTTGTGCACTGTAACCCTGATAACTTTATCTACACGAGAGAGTAAAATGGCATGCATCGACTAACTTCGTCCGTCTCATCATTGCACGAACACGAATTTACGAGCTGTTATGCTGCCGCTGGGACTGATGAAGTCTAGAAAGTAACAGCAGATATTAAATGACTAAATTATGATATTTGCTCAGGTGGATGCTGGGGGCTTATCTGTCTAATTAGAGTTAAGCCAGTCGGCGTGGTAGCCCAGGCATACATAGTTGTAGGCCATTATTGTTAAGCCAGTCGGTGTGGTAGCCAAGGCTGACATAGTCATAGGCCACTATTGTTAAGCCGGTTGGCGTGGTAGCCAAGGCTCACATAGTCATAGGCCACTATTGTTAAGCCGGTTGGCGTGGTAGCCAAGGCTCACATAGTCCTAGGCCACTATTGTTAAGCCGGTCGGCGTGGTAGCCCAGGCACACATAGCCATAGGCCATTAGCGTTAAGCCGGTCGGCGTGGTAGCCCAGGCACACATAGATAGTAATACATGCGGCTCACATGGCTCTTTGGAGCAGCAGCAGTACAGATGTCTTGGCGATAGATCTGTTTTGTGGGGGATGTCTTGTCTTTCCTTGTCTGTTCATCTTCATGTGTGTGGATACATGCATGTCCACTATATGCAGCAGTTTATCCTTATATTCAGCGGCATGCATATATTGGCTTGTATTGTTTTGTGTAACGTGTCTCCTGCTTTGTGGGGGTTATTCACATGCTTACAGCAGCATGTTGTGGATGTATTGGCAGTAGCAAGTCTCGGTACTTGCTCTGCCGCAGCAGCAGCATAGCAGATCTATTCCGCCAAGACCAAATACATTAACATTGTCATGTACATTACCATGCCAATCTCTCCGAGAGTTGTCATGACAGAAATACACTCACTCCAAGTAATAAAAAAATATATATATATTGTACATGGAGCGAGCAAGCTGAATACTACTTATTTAATCTCAGTGACCACAATTGGACACTCCCTTAAATGGAATAAATTAATCATGGCTGACAACAACATTTCTTTCAAATTAATCATGGCTGACAACAGCATATTTCTACAATGGCAAGCACTTGCATGCACACCTCTGTTGTGTCAGTCCAAGTCCAAGACTGAAGTATCTACCATTACAACATAATGGGAAAACATCACTAAATGCACCTTTAAGGAGTTCACCCAAAAATTCTGTCATTTTTCATTTTTCTCTACTTACTCAACCTCATGTCATTTCAAACCTGAATGATTTTCTTTCTTTCTTTTAAAGTTTTTTTTGTGTGTCCATTCAAAGCTCACTGATTACATTACTCAATTTGTGTGTGTGTGTGTGTGTGTGTGTGTGTGTGTTTGTGTGTGTTCTGCAGAATTAAATGTCATATAGGTTTGGAATGACATGGATCACAGAATTTTCACATAATTACATGGCAAATAAATTCTGAAACGAACTAACCTAAACTAAATCTGAGACATGTTGCTACCTAAGCCAGTATGTAGGAGAACAACATAATTACATGATTCCTGTTGCTTTTCTCAGCTCTGAAAAAAAAAACAGACTTTACACAGTTGATTGCGGTTACAGGATGACAGCTTA